TGACCCACAGTATCGTACACCTATTCTCCCATCAGCTCCCTTCCTCACTGCATTCCTCTTCCATAGGCTGGAGCAACGACTGGGGTCAAAAAAGATTGGAAGTGGAGGATGAAGCTCATTGGAAGAGGCAGTCAAAAAGCGTGGTGAAAGAAAGGATTTTGGGGACTTAGGGGGGCAGGCGGAATTGGATTTAGGAAGAATAAGGTGAAGGAGATAGTGATTTTATGAATTGGTAGTTCTAGGAAAACTACCCTGGCTACTGAGGTTTGTGGAGATAATGAAATTTGAATTAGGTTTTCAATTTTGCTTCTATTTCAATGTTTTAGGGGCGGCCAAAGGAAGTTAAGTTTAATTCTAAAGGAGAGGAAGAGGAAGAGGAATTCAAGGGGAGAGGTCAGAGGATCTTAATTTTCAGTAACCAGCTCTAATCTTATATTTTTCTTCCATCCAATTACAGTTTAGAAAAGAGAAATAGTGTGTTAGTTTGAAAGAGTAAGCAAGATGATGCTCCTCCTAAAGGAATGCATTTTATAAGTCAAAAGGTAACCAAATTGAATTCAAAGGTGGGTTTTTGATTTGCTATCTAGATTTGGAATTTCATTCATCAATCTATGTTCTTAATGGGGTCTTTTGCATTTCTTTCTTCTTCAAGAGTTGCAAATTTTAATCGAGGGGACTTGATGGTTTTTTCTCTTGGTTTTGCAAATTGTAATCTTTTAAGCTTTTCTTCGCAGATATACAGAATGGCTGGATCAGATGAGAGGGGTGATTGAACCTGTAGAAGCTCAAGGTAACTGAACACAATTTGTTTAGTCTATCTTCTCATGTTTTTGCGCATGGCTGGATCGAAGAGCATTTAGGACCATTGATCAAAATATTGTCAGATCAAAATATGAACTGTTTCTTTCAATAATCAAGCACTTATGTCATCTTCTCTCTCTGAGAATACATTAAATAAAAGAAAGATTAGTAAAAAGAGGTCTTTAAACAATAAGATTAATTTGTAGAGAGATGGACTGTTGGTACAGGGGAGAGAATAATGATAAGAGTAGTGTTATATGTTGATTGGGATTGTACTTTGGGATCATATTTGGGTTCCTTTTTCTTTTCTATTTTATGTGTTTAAAGTGCAAGAAATTTTTAAGAGCAAATCAAATTTTGCAGTATGAAGTTGCTATTAACAAAGAGCAAATCAAATTTGAGTTGTGAATCTTTGGTTTCCCATTGTACAAGGATAAATTCGTTATATAGTTTTTTCAGATTTAACTTATAAGAAGGGAATTGGGATTCAGGAGAAAATTTGTAATTGATTTTTGAATTTTGGTCTTCCACTTCTATTTGGTTGATTTATGTTGAGTAAGCCGTGACAGTAACAACTCTAGATTTTCAATTATAAGTTTTTGGTAGTGTTTGCTTACTCCATCTCTCTTAGCTTGAAGATGGCACTCTTTATCTTCATCGTCATCCTTTCTATGTTGATTTAGTATGTGGAATTCAGTTTTGTAGGTTGTATGATTGATAAAAGTTTGAATTTTTTTCTGCTATTTGTTTCAAATTAGTGTTCATTGCTTTTTTCTGGTTTTTTTTTTTTTTTATTTTTCTTTCCAAAGTTTGATAATTTTCTGTGTAATTATTATCATTTATGATGGGTGTTTGAAATGTTTGGTTCGTTTTAACATTGGTGTTGTGGTGGACATTTGATTTAAGCTTTGATTGGTTTATGTTCCTTTTATTATGTTAAATGTAGATCCATTGATAGATTTTATATAAATTATATCAAATTACATATTGATCTGCGATTCTTTTCTTGAGTCTAATGATACTGCCATCTAGGTTGAGTTGGAATGTGTTTTTGAGATTGCCATGTGTATGGGGAAGTGATGGTGAGCTGTGTGATGTGGAACCCAATTCTGGAGAAAGTGATGGTGCATGAAGCAGAACAAAGTTCCCAATGAGTAGATATTGGTGCTAAAAGGGAAGAAAGTGAGGTAAAAGATTTGACAGTGATGAAAAAGAAAGATATGGTTGGGAGTAGTGACAAGCAGGAGACAAGAAGTAATCAAAAGTGGATTAAAGAGGTTTGAGAAGAACCATTATCCAAATAATGAAAGATAAGGAGGTTGATCAAGCTAAAAGTCCGAGGTAATGGCTAGCCAAAATGGCCTCAAGTATAGTTCAATTGTTCCAAGCTTACATTTGGTTGAAATACATGAGATCTTTAGCAAAGAAATATTGGAATAGTTATTATTAAGATAATTAACTTTAATTTTATGAAGTTTTTCTAAGAACTCAAATATGTATAAGCATCCTCTTTACACTTAAAACAAGATAATTGAATCACTGCTACCTCTGTGAAGTGGGGTGAGAACCAACTTGTTTCGTTATATTGTGAGTTGTCTATTCACCTACACAAGTCACGCCATCAAATAAATAAAGTAAAATGAGTTTAAAAGCCAAGAATTCTTAATTGCCACTCATTTTAAATGAACAAGTTGGGTAAGAATTATTGATTAAGTCGACTTTTGCCATATTCTGGGAGTCAATATTTCATATTTGTTAGATTGCTTCGCCCCATTCTAAAATCAACCATTTTACCAAATTTCTTTGTTAGACCAAATAGATCTTTATAAAATTACTCCTGATTTTTCTAAATGTTTGTTTCCCCTTCCATACAAAAACTATGTAACATCATGACAAACAAACAGAGTCATTACTTTTTGGTAAATTAATTTGCATGGTGATAACAATATAAAATTTAGAGGACAACAAATATAAGCCGTTAGGAAAAGCCTGCGCCTTCTCTAATCACATTTATGAGTTCTTTAATGTTTGTCTCCTGGCAAGAAGTACCATGAGGCCTGAAAGACTTCCTAAATCAACAAGCTTTGCAAGCAACATCTTTTTTTTTTTTTTGGTGAAAAGAGAGAAAAACATTCATATATAAAATAGAATTCCACAAAAATTTGGGAAACGCAGTCCCATTCATATCAGCATACAAGAACACCCCAGGCCAAAAGGCCAGCATTTCGGACGATGACAGACAAATGAAAGGGGGGGTTGTGACCCATATTCTCCAGGAAATCAGTACACATGTTAGCTTCCCTAAACACGTCGAAGTTGAACATTTAAGACTAGTGCAAGCAACATCTTTCATTGGATATATAAACTTCAACACCCAAAAGAGTGCACCATTACAGATAGTGTTTTAGACATGAGGTACGGCATGACCATTAGATACGAAAACAGATAATCAAAGAAGTTTAAAGAAACAGATTTAGTGTACAGACAGAATTAGGAGAATACTTCACCATGTGAATATCAAAGTACAAACAAACATCTAGAATTTTTTTTTTCACCATATCTTCAGTAGAAGCTCTGTTCACCAAATCTTATATCAAAACTCATAACTCATATAATTCTACTGCCATTGGGATCAAAATGGTAGATGATTGAAATGTAGCAGCCATTGTCACGTAGTAAGTCTCTGTAGCATAATCAAAGTGCAGAAAAGTAGAGTTAGCTCCTTAATGTATCAGAGAAGTTGATAATCCTGCATGACAAATGGTAAAACTGCGTTCAAATGATTGAACTTTTCTATTGAGCTGATAAAATAAACTAATTTGTAAACAAAGCTATCATTTAGAGCACTTCACTTACCTCCTATTGAAGATGTTGCCATCCAGAACAAAATCTTGAGCCTATAGCACAAAATTGCTCATCCTAAGTGGATGATATATGAAAGCAAGAAAGTACTAATCAGACTGATTGTTTATTTATGATTCTCAAAGCCAAACTACATAGTCCACAACAGAAACATTTCTTGAGATTTTGCAGTGACATACCTTTAACTATCTCTCTGAAAGAATGTGGTTTACGCTAACTGGAAATGAGGCTGTGATACTCAAGTAAGGGACCGTCTACTGACAACTGAAGTTTGCACAACTGCAGCTAGAGCTGAAGAAACAGAAATTAATATCAAATAATCAGCGAAGAAGATAACAAACAAACAACAATGAACTTTATGTTAAACTGTAAAAGTCATAAGTGGAGCAAATAACAAAAGCATATTCATTTTAGATGAATTTTAAGTTGAGAATTACTTCTACACTAACAGACCTTTATCAAAGTCCATAAGCTACTTTGCATCTGCTATTCCTCCTTAACTTACTTCTAAAAGGCCTTGTGGCTTAATGACTGAGATACTGAACAGTGAACAACTACAATACACAATTAATTCTCAAACAAATAAAATGTATGATAGTACTCAGTTGGAAAGACTATACATGCTCAAATGTAAAGCACTAATGCTTAAATAAGACTTTTAAATGATCTAGAAGGCATACTCGATACATTTTTGCTTTGTCAAGTGACTTCCTCATGAAAAGAATATAATCTATTACCACTTAAGGTTCCATGCCTGCACATGAAAAAAGAAATATATTAACGGAAAAAAAAGTACTATATGTACTGATCATGAAAAGTTACAGTGGAAAATATAAGATAAGGAAAGATATTTAAGAGCAGAAAATTGATGATAGATAGTCCCCCCAAGTATCAAAGTAGAAGCAGTTAATTAGGAGACCTAATGCTCAATGGTATTAATTGTCTTATAAGAACATATTTTGCAATGTAAATGATGAAATGCTAAATTCTGGAAACTAATGTAAACTATTAATATTCTTCGTTAACTTCAAATCAAAGATTCCAAATAACAGACATAACTGATAAAAAAAAAAAAATTACATATATTAAAGAAAAGTAACATGAGTTGCAAATATTTATGGAGTGACAATTGATGGCTAAGTTTTGAGAAAATGGTGAGTTCTTAAGAATCTAACCTTAAAAGTCATGTATGACATAATTCCTTCTTCTGCTTCAATTTACAGAGTGACACTGAGTTTAAGGCCAAGTTCTGCAAAATTGATAAAATGGAGATAGGATGAGAGAGAGTATGATAACTAAAAACACCATCAAATGAAGAATGCAATAGATTTCATGTGCTGGTAATTTAAAATAGTTCTAACCTGTACTCATCTCTAAGTATGTGAAATCAATAGATCCATGTTTGGATAATTGGATCATTCTCACATAAGCTGGTCTAGAAAAAGGGAGCAGAATAAAAGTTGTTGTATGGTCAATTGTTGACATCTTTTATGAAACATGAATTCAACATTTTCAGAAAACAGAAAAAAAGATTACCTAGAAGTATTACTCATGTATTGCCCTGCAAAAAAAGGGAACATCCAGGGACTACCATATAAATTGACAAATTTGATTTCAGGTGTTGCTTTGAAGTCTGAATTGACAAAAAGATAAATGTGCTAACTAATATGGTGATGGTGGTGATGGATGGGAAGTTTTTACAGAAGCTGAGGTTTAATAAAATATACCTGAGATGTTCAATCTTCTTAGAATTGGATGCACTTGGTCTACTTGGATATTGGAATGTGAGGAACTTTGAATCAATCAGTACCTCTTGGCATTGGATGGCCCTAGGAGAAGGCAAATATTTCAAATTATGGACAGAAATTGAATATCTGAATAGAGATCAACTTTACAACAACTATGCCAAAGCTTCCAATTGATAAAACTCTCTATAATCAGAGTGTCCATAAGCTAAGCTACATTCACTCTTCTCTTTATGTACAAAATGCCATATGGCACAAGGAATGCGGTACTGATCATGAGCACCTACAAGCATTCTTTCCATCAAAATTTTCAAGAAAAATGCTTAATCCAATTGCATAGACTATACATGCTTGTAAGAGACATAATACTTAATTAATACACATATGATCTAGAAGGCACACTTGAATAATATTTTACATTTCAAGAAGCTTCCTCCCTTCTCCCTGCTACTTCTCCATGGTGTGAATTAAACAGTACCTAAGGTTCTTCAAATGCTCAAATCCAAGGTACATGATAACTCCATTACTGCATAACCAGCAAATAATTCTAGGACAAATGAATTAATGAAATAAAATTTATTACAGTGTAACTTGTTTATTTCATTTATGAAAAATGAATTTATCTTTTTGAGAAAACCCAAAAGAGGATACCTAAAGGAATCCCTTATGCACTGCAAACATTGGAACAACCTGGGTTTACCTTATGGATTGACAAATTTAATTACTGATGCTGCTTAAGAGTTAGATTTCATAAAAGTTACAAATGCTTAATTATAGGGTAAAGATAGGCTTAGCAATGGGAAGTTTTTAAGGAAGAAGAGGTGTTGAGGTTTAAAAAATATACCTGAGAAGCTCAATATTCTTGGAATGGTATACTCGTTCTACTTGAATATTGGAATGCAAGAAACTTCTAATCAGTCAGAGTCCCTCTTGGCATTGCATGGCTCCAGCAGAAGGCAATTACTTCAGATTTTGAGTAGAAATGTGGTCTTCCAATAATGAACAAGTTCTCCAACAATTGTGTCAAAGCTTCCCCTTCATAGAACTCTCTTATAATCAAAATCCTTAATATTCAAGATGCTGCTGTTCAAAACAATATCACAAAAATAACCAGCAAGAGCTTGCTCATCTTAAGTGCATAGGAATCCCTAGAAAACAACATAAAACCAAGTAAACCCTCATCATTACCTTGATTATTTCCTTATACAATTAATTCAAATAACTGAACACCACATTTCATAAGGTTGTAAAGTTAACCAATATGAATCAAAGTTTAGTTTTTGCAGTAAAACAGGAAAAATCAAATAATTAGTATAGTAACAGACTACAAGAAACTATCTTTCACAATGAAAAATTAGAAGCAGGGGGCAAGAATCATATTCATTTCAATTGCTTGAGGAATAAGAAAATTATACTTAATTATATATTTATGAAAGCTAGAAGCTACTCTGCATCTGATACTGCCATAAATAGATTGCTTCAAATAATTTAAGACCCTACTCCTACTGGATACTTACACTAACAAGTTGTATGATAAAAATTTTGAAGCTAGTTCATAAAACCCAACTCAAAGACCATGCTACAAGTTCTAAGAACTTACTAGATAGATGAGGATTTCTTAGGCACCTGTAAACCAGGGACCTATGCATATATATGTATACAAAGATGCAGACTCAATCGTGGACAAACACTTCCAGTAGACTCAACATGTACGTACATAAATAGTTCGAGAAAACCACCCATTTTCAATTCTTCCAAACCATAGGAATCATTTATTATACATTCTGAATAATGAGAAATTCCTACCTTTGTTTGGTTTGTGGGGAATGGAGGTGCCATAACATCCTTCCATTTCCCTCCCTCTTGCTTGCTTCTCCCTTTTTCATTAAGTTATACTAAAATTATAAAGGAAATTAGAGGTATATCCTCCCTCCCATTCCCTCCCCTCCAATTTTTGTTATCCAAATAGGGAATTTTATGCCCTCCCCATAAAACCAAACAAGCTTTTAAAAGAATTCATATGTGGAAGAGAGTTGGAGTAAGAAGAAATTACCTTTTAAAGAATTTTCACAAGCATTGTAGGTTAAGAAAATTGAAGCAGCCATAAGTAACCCTTTGGATTGATAAATTTGACTCTTTGTTACTTTGAAGTCTGAATTGAAGAAAGAAGCAAAATTAGTGGTGGAATTTATTATAAGGAAGAAGAGAAGTTGAGGATTAAGAAATTTAAATATATACCTCAGAAAAAGTGCCCAATCTCCTTGTTATTGGATGCGCACTTAATGTATTTGGATGTATCGAATGTGAAATTTTGAACCATTCAAGGCCGGTTTCCTTTGCACATCTTCCTGCTAGCTCTGGTCATTCAAAAATTTGAAAATACTGCAACTTGGAGAGGTATGCAGAAGGCCCATCTCTCACTTTTGCGCAGTGCCAAATCTCCAGAGATTGAAGAGATGACAAGCTTTCTAACCACTCTGGCAAAACTTCCACTTGATTGAAATTATATATATACAATTCCCTTAGAGAAGTGAGGTGTTGAATTTGATGTGGTAGACACGTTAGTTTTTCCCACCCAAACAACCATAATTCTTGAAGGGAGGCGTGGAGGCGGTGGATGGAATTAAGATACGGGAATTCCTCCAACTCTTCTGAGAAACCACCAATTCCCAAATACTCCAAGGAGACAAGACAGCCTAAGCTCTCCTCCGGAATACTCAAATTTTCACAGTCAACAATATGTAAGCTAACCATAGAACGCAAATCCTTCAAGTCTTCGAAGATGGAGATCAGATTAGAGCAGCTAACCAGGGCCAATTCTTTAAGTGCAGTGCAGGAGGACAGTCCATTTGGCAGACTCACCACTGAACTGCATTCCTCAATCCGTAATTTTTTTAGAGAGGAAAGCCCATTTACACTTGGAATGGACCTCAGATCACTACATCCATCTAGAACTAACTCTTCTAGGCATGTGAGGGTCGAAATACTATCCCCAATTGTTTCCAATCTTGGACAAAAATGAATGCATAGTCGGCTGAGGGACGCTGGAAAGGCACATGCTCCATCTCCGATTCTGGTTAATTCACGGCAACCTGTAATTTCAAGCTGTTGAAGAGATGATAACCCGATCATGATTGGCATGCTTTTCAACTTTCTACATCTTAAGATGTTCAAGTCCACCAAATTGTTGAGCGAAAATGATCCACTCAAACTAGAATCCATCCATGATGGACATTTTTCACCTCCATAACAGTGTATAGTTAAATTTGTCAAATTTGGGGGAGGTTTGAGGCCTGCTAAGACATCTTCATCATGATTACATTCTTCTGTATTTCTTTCTGTCCACCATCCCAAACTCAACTTACAAAGTCCAGTCTTTTTCGAAAGTTTTGCTTTCTCGGCTTCTAAGTAGCTTTCAACATGCTCTAGATGACATATCCTTAATTCACCTCGAAGTTGGCTCAAGCATCCCAATTCCTCAATTCGACTTCCCTTTTGTAGACCGACAACAAATAACTGCAACGTTTGAAGATCCTTTAGCCTACCAATTCTGAGTGGCATACAGTTGTCTTCATTGAAATAAATGTGTCTCAAGCTGACTAAGTCTTCCACCCCTTCTGGCTGTTTTACAATCCGAGAACAATACATGAACTTCAGTGTCCGCAAACTATACAACCCCATGATAAACTGGGGTAGTTCTTCAATGTCGGTGTATGAAATGTCTAGATACCTCAAATGCTTCATCTTGCCGATCCAAGTTGGCAACTGCTCAATGTTAATTCTCCAAAGGCTACCTTTTTCAAAGCTAAGAATGCGTAACCTTTTGAAGCTATCTGGCAACTTGCCCAAAATATCACCTTTAAGAAATAAGGAATGTAGTTTTCCAGCCACCTCCACAAAATTTGCTGGCACCATCTCAGCATCAATGAGATTCAAATGCCGAACATGAGCAATATTGCTCTCTGAACCAGCTTTCAAAATAAGTGTTTCTGATTTTGAATTGGAAGTGGCAAGATCATGAATAAGATCATGCATTTTGCATGACTTAATCTTACCAGCTGAATCTCTTTCTTCCTCTAGAAACAAAGAATATGATAACAAGTCATCAAATAACCCGTCATCAATTTTCTCCATTGAACTTCCTTCTGATGGCTTAAGAAAGCCCACTGCCATCCAAAATTCAATTAACTTCTGTCTTCTAATTTTTGAACCCTTGGCGAAAATGGAACAGAAGGCAAAAGGTTGCTTCAAACGGTTTGGCAAGCGATCAAAACTCAATTGTAAAACTTGATCAATCCATTCCCTGCTATCATCTCCCAATGAAGTAGTACCCCATTCCTCAAATTTTTTTTTAACTGACAACCACTCATTTCCATCCCTTTGATTGCATAAACTAGCCCCTATGACAATGGCAACTAATGGCACACCTCTACATTGTTCAGCTATTTGCCACCCAATTGCTTCTAACTCAAGACTAGGCTCTGAAGAACTTCCGAAGGCTCTCTGCTTTATTATAGACCAACACTGACCAACTTCTAGTCCTTGAAGATGATGCATGTGTTCTCTAAGTGTTCCCATTATAGAAGCTACTTTTTCACTTCGAGTTGTCACAACCATCCTACTCCCCTTATTTTTATTTATTTCTAACAAACAACCCCTCAAGGCTTCCCACTTCATTCTATCCTCATTCCACACATCATCTAAGATGAGTAGATAGTTTTCCTTTTTTAACTTCTCTTGTATTTCTTCCACTATGGTAGCCTGGTTTTCAATTGGACAACCCTTTTTGTTGAGAGACTCTAACATTTCTTTTAGGATTTTTTTGACGTCGAAGTCTTCAGACACACAAATGAACATTGTTTTGCCAAAATTCCTCACTATTTTCTCATGATTTTGCACTGATTTTACTAGGGTAGTTTTTCCCAGACCCCCCATACCCACTACAGATATGACAGAAAGGGGCTCCTTATTACTTGAATCAGTCAACAAGTCAACTATTTTTGACACATCATCCTCTCTTCCTATGACTCTAGGACAATAACCAGGGGAGGAGTATGTTGTTTGGGGGATGCTTCTAGGTTCCTGGGTAGCAAGTTTAGACTGAAGTCCAAATTGAGTAGCCTGCTGATTAATCTCAACTATAGAAGCAATAAGATTCTTGATCTTATTAGCCATCAGCAGACGAAATATGAAAGGATTGAAAAAAGTAAAGCAGAGACAGACCTTCATCATTTGCTTTCGAGTCTGTACCTCCTGTTTCAGTCCTTCATAAACAGCCTCGTCCAAAACATCCTCAGCATCACGAGCCACGTCTCTGAGCTTCTCAAGCCAAAGCTTCACAGCTAAGCTTCCAACTTGCTTTCTGTCTGCATCTTCCAACATAGCACGGATCATGTCCAACTTGCCGCGAAGCTTTTCGAGCTCTGCCTTCCAACTGACTGCAAGGTTGATTTGCTCAGTAGCAGTTGAAATCACCTTGGATATGGTGGCATCAACAATAGGACTCAAGACAAGATCGACCATCTTCACTTCAATAGATCTGGGAAAAGTATGCAAATTATGCTGGAGAGTTAACACGCATATTATGAAATAGAGGGTGGTATACATAAAATAGGGGTGGATCAAGGCAACTATTACTGTTGCCACGCGGTTTCAAAATCTCCAAATTACCCTTTCGCTAGATGATAGTCAATATGACCGATGGTGTGGTGAAAAAGTATGGTCAAGTCACTGCAGAGTGGACACCACACTCCCAGAAGTGGGGTCCACATTACAGGTGAAGATGTTACCA